TTGAAGTTTCACAATTAACCTTTAAATCAACTATCACCAATTTAGTCGAAATCTACCAAGAACATCACAGTAATTACCTTGGCGTCTAGAAAACATTGAAATTATTTACCGCCAAAAACATTGTCAGATAATGCATTCTACAAGCGAAGTTTATTCAAAATGTCGTGTAAAGCGAACCTGAAACGGAATTGAGCTCGGGTAGATGATTTGATTAAGTTTCAACTCGATACAAGTGCATCACTCAGAATACTGGACTCCTTCGAAATAAACATCAACAAAAAATATAGACGTATTCTCTGTTCCGTTGACGGATAATCCCAAACCAGCAACAGTACGGATTAGCAAACATCTAGGGCTACTCAACAGACTCGTTTCACACACAGGAAGTGATTCATGCATCGCCACAGAATTGCTTTTAAAGCCTTCTTCGATACGACCTACTTTCTAAACTAGTCGACTCAGTTTAAATGAACCAATGAAGGACGCCATACCTATGTTGGAATGACAAATGCCATTTCTTTAGTGGCATCGCGTCAAAATGGTTCCCAGTTCATTCGGGAGTAAGGCAAGGAGGTGTGCTCTCTACATTTTTGTATCAAGTATTCATTTATGAACTGCTCAAAAAAGACCCTGTTGATACCTCCCGGTAACCCGATATTAATTGATCACATTGTCCTGATTCCGGTTTCTCCAACAGCCCTCAAAGATTGTACAAAACAGACACAAACGTGAATAGCACCTTTTAATAATTTAGAGCTAGATACGACAGAGCCAAACAATGACTAAACTACATTATACAGCTGCTTCGTCCTTTTAGGAATCGTCAGTGATACTATATCATACAGCTGTTTCGTCCTTTTAGGAATCGTCAGTGATGCTACATCATACAGCTGTTTCGTCCTTTTAGGACTCTTCAGTGATGCTACATCATACAGCTGTTTCGTCCTTTTAGGACTCGTCAGCGGTGCTACATCATACAGCTGTTTAGTTTAGGACTTGTCAGTGATGCTACATCATACAGCTGATTCGTCCTTTTAGGACTCGTCAGTGATGCTACATCATACAACTGTTTCGTCCTTTTAGGACTCGTCAGTGATGCTACATGATACAGCTGTTAGTCCTTTTAGGACTCGTCAGTGATGCTACATCATACAACTGTTTCGTCCTTTTAGGACTCGTCAGTGATGCTACATCATACAGCTGTTTCGTCCTTTTAAGACTCGTCAGTGATGCTACATCATACAGCTGTTTAGTTTAGGACTTGTCAGTGATGCTACATCATACAGCTGTTTCGTCCTTTTAGGATTCGTCAGTGATGCTACATCATACAGCTGTTTCGTTTATGACTTGTCAGTGATGCTACATCATACAGCTGATTCGTCCTTTTAGGACTCATCAGTGATGTTACATCATACAGCTGTTTCGTCCTTTTAAGCCTCGTCAGTGATGCTACATCATACAACTGTTTCGTCCTTTTAGGACTCGTCAGTGATGCTACATCATACAGCTGTTTCGTCCTTTTAGGACTCGTCAATGATGCTACATCATACAGCTGTTTGGACCTTTTAGGACTCGTCAGTGATGCTACATCATACAGCTGTTTCGTCCTTTTAGGACTCGTCAGTGATGCTACATCATACAGCTGTTTCGTCCTTTTAGGACTAATCAGTGATGCTACATCATACAGCTGTTTCGTCCTTTTAGGACTAATCAGTGATGCTACATCATACAACTGTTTCGTCCTTTTAGGACTCGTCAGTGATGCTAAGAGCCTAAATTTTGAAACCTAGAAGGGGAAGGAGGAAAATCAGAAGTGGTCGAAAAAAAGTCAAAATCTATTTTCATATATCAGACAATTTTAGAACGGCTTGAAGTATTTGTGTATATTCTGAACCGTACCACTATTCCAAGGAATTTAAACGTGGCATGCAGGTTACTGCAAATCTTGATTATTTAAAGTTTACCTGCAGTATCTACAACCTACTATCTCAAAGATTGTACAAAAGGCACACACTTAAATAGCACCTTTTAAAACTTTATAATTAGATACAGTAGACCCCAAAAAAATAATTTGCATCATACAGCTGTTTCTTCCTACTCGTTACTTGTGTTACATTAAGCATTTTTCCATGAGATGATATGTACAGTAATCCTGCTGAGATAGATTTATTGAAAAGTATAAACAGAGTTTTAACGAGTGATTGAGAAACTCCTTTGATGAAGGGATTGTATCAGAACCTGTTGGTTTATTAGTATCTAGAAGCTTGTGTTGATCAGTAATGCCTTGATCAGTAATACCTTGATCAGTAATGCCAATAGAAGAGAATTTTTGTCTTGATCGAGGAGAGTCAGGTCATACATTTGTAAATCCTAAGCATTCTTTTCTGTTACAGAAATAGATATAACATAGTAATTAAAGACTCAGATTTATCTATAGGATATATCTTAGATCCAGAAGGATGGGGTATTTACTTTGCTTTGGAATGCTGATGGTCTTATTTTCAATCTAATTTCATAAGTCATCGAGATTTTATCATTAGGTCTAATTTACTCGTATTAGGTACAAATAGGTTTATAGTTTACAGCTGTTAAAATTTTGTTAGTGAGTACAGAAGTCGTTTCATCAATATCACCACAGAACAAAAAAATTCGATAGCTCCATCAAAATATGTACAGGTATTGTGGAAATATAAAATGAGTGTTTATTAGCCATTTGTGGGTTTTTTCCAGCATATCTTACAGATAAAAATATTAATTGGATTGGACAACAGGCTGGAAGCCTATTTGATTGAAAATTTCGGTCTCTAAAATGAAGATTTAATGTCAGTTTTTACCGATTATATGTGTGTTCTAAAATGAGTATATCCATAACAACATCAAAATGTAAATGTTGACATAAATTTTCAGTTTAGAAGCCTCCAAAATTACAGTGACTTTTTACAATAAAGAATCATTAAAATAAACATGGTCAAAGGGAAACAACTCTTATAAAATGGTCAGATTTCAAAACAAAATAGAATTTTTAATAATCCGCCATCACAAGATTAACATTATCGACCTATCAGATACCCACTTAATACACTTATCATGCCCGCAGAAAATTGTTTAGTAATATTCTAAGTTTGAAAACAGTTATTATTATACTCATCCACCTGAATTCTCAAACATCAACCAGTGTTATTGATAGTAATATAAGAAAAAACTTTTGAAAATATGAAATAGAATGTTGTTTTTTTTCTGATATTTTCATACTTACTTACACAATTTATCTTATCTTTGTTAAATGCCTTTTGTCTCTGATAAAGTTCACAGTCGTGGATAATATATATTTAAATTCATAGTGGAAATTTTGCCATATTGACAGAGAGAAAGCGTCAAAATGTTTCTTTCGTCTATGTATCTGGGACAAAGTAGTGCTTCACTGTTTCAAGTGAGGCACATCGGACATGCGGAGAGTCAGCATGCAGACTGTGCATACTTCCTTCTTGAAATGACAGAGAATTGCTTTGCATGTGTGATTGATAAAGCAGAAGACGCTTACTTTTCCAGAACACCTGGTCTTATTCTCGTTGTACTTTTACGGGAATCTCTGTGTAAACCTATTTTTGTTCAAATTTTAACATAAGATTTTATAGAATTGGAGTTTGGATTATAATAATATGTTCACGTTATTTTCTTATTTTTATCATTCATAATAAAAAAAATATTGTCAAACAGTAAATTACTGCCTCCCAGGCAGCTCGTTTCTCTGGTCTCAGTAATGATGGACATGGAGCAATGTAAACTAATTCATTATAACATAGATTTTATATGTAGTGTGTTATATAGTCTAGGGAGTGGGAGTGTGATAGCATTGTTTGTGTCTTATATCTGTGCCACTCATTTCTTAGGATTTTGTATATAATAAATAGTTGTTTGTATATATTTGTGTTGCGAAATCTGTCAGCATGCATGTGAATTGGCCTACCCCCACAATTCTTGACATCAATATTTCCATCATAACCCCATTGAGTAATGGCCAAGGAAAGACCAACACCTCAATGCCTGGATGTCGAAGCACTTTCTGGAGAATTTGATCGCTACAAATAATGATTTTAAAGTTAAAGTGCTTTAATTTGGCCGGCCTCATTGTTTCCGGATATTTTTGAAGTGTATATCTTAAACATTATGTAAATTCCATTCCAGGATCTGTTGGGACAGTTGTAAGCCGCGAATTCAGCACTTTCAATACTGTATTAATATAAGAATGCGGACCAACCGGTATCGGTCCATATACCTGCTATCATTCTGTAAAATAAATCTTCCTTGTAGAGAGATGACAAAATCAGCCAGAGAGAAAGATAAGGGTCCTTCAGTCTGCTACATGAGCTACAATTATTTTTATAACTATATTCTCAGTTGGTCCCAATTCATTAGGATGAAGACATCATTTCTCTAATGTTCTTTGAAAATATTCTGTCGAGAGAAGCCAGGCTTTCAAATTGAACTCTTTTGGGTTTGGACTAAACACTATTTTTTTCTTGTCTAAAAACGTTTTCATGTACAAGTAGCCTTATTGCATTTGCTTTCCTCTTCTGAGACAACCATGTCTGCGATGCCACTACGACGTTATCAGTATTGTCGACACTGGAAATGAAAAACGGGATCTGGGACTGGTTGTGTTCGGTACATTGGGGGATATGAATATGTAAAAATTCCCTTCATAGGAATTGATAGAGCATCTGTTGCAAACGCTTGGTGAAGAGGTATCCACCCGCCAAATATCATTGCTTTGTGAGTATCTTCAGTAGCCAATAGGTCTCCCAATGGAGATAATGTTTGTTCAAATCAATTGCATTTAAATCTACAGATGTCTATAATGATGTATCCAACAATTTTAGAAACAGTTGTCAAGCAGAATATGCAACATTCACTCAAGATGTTCTTATGGTCATAGTACACATTTTATTTCAATGACATAAAACTAACTATACAGCATCAAATCTTTCATTTATAATCAACCTTTGATGCGATATTTCATTCATAATCAACCGTTTCTACAAAATGAGCATTAACAATATTAACAGTCTTCATAATATTTACAGAGATACAAAAAAATATCCAAACATATCATTAATTTAGAATCCATGATTTATACATAACACTAGACCCTTTTGTTTCTATTTCAGTGAGAAGCCACCATTCTGATCCAATAATGCTTTCAAGTATACATGTTTTAATATCACATAGCACTAATGTACACCCTACTTCCAATAGTCTCTGAATAGGAACACGTGTAGATCACTTAATCTGAAATTAAGTTTTTCCGTGCAGCTACGAGTAAAGTGTTGCTGGGTTTTACTTCAGATTCATTTCCTTTGTTCAACATTAAAGTACCAGAAGTTCCAAGATCTTTTTTTAACATTATCTGTAACACTTTGTCAATCATCATCAGTCCACCATGTAGTTGGGGTGAACGACCAGGAATGGATCCTCTTCACGCACCAGTGCCTCTCCTTTCAACCCTGTCTGCTTCAGCTCTATGAGAACATGGTCCTGTAACACAACAATTCAAGTTTCAATCACATCTTTTGGTAAATCAATTTTTTTCAGGAAGATCCTGTCCTTTTTTTTTTTTTTTGTCTATGTAATGATATTCAATAAATATGATAACGCACATATATGAAGTACAAGGGTTTGCCTACCAAAAATCTTTGTCATCAAACATATATAAAGTTCTGTCCACTAGTTTGCTCCTGTCGCAACAACAAGGGTGAAGAATGAAGAAGCGAATAATTGTACCATCAAGTGCGTCAAACCTCAGAACTAACAACTGGTAACAGATGGTGAGCTTTTGACCAATGGTAATCACACATTCTGTTTACAGCAACACCTCTATTGTTTTATCCCGACGTTTTAAAAATACTTCAATTAGAATTTGTCCAAAAATATTCTAGGAAGTTATCAATAGATTGTAAATAAGCGACCATTAGGTGAGTGTTGTTGTTTATCTAGGCTACAGAATTAATTAAAACTAAAAACTGTCAAGAAAAAAAAATGTCCCTTCAACAGGTAGTGTCAATAGAGGACCATCTTTAACCCGTTCATGAGTGATGATGGGAGTCTGAAGTCAGGCTGAAAGTCATACACTCAGTTCTGGAAAACAGTTTCTGTTGAAATATTGTCACAAAGTATATATTTATCTCTTTCAAACTTGCAACACTAATACTATTTTGTAATAAAGGAAATGAACAGTTCCTTCAAAATGAAGATTTTTGCAAATGCGTCCTCGTTCCCTCATGCATTTAACAATCTACATCACAAACTTACATGATGCACAAGTCTATCCAAAACTTTTTCTACGACGGTCTTCTTCTCCAATAACTCAGCCTCAGAATCAATCTCGCTCTCCATTTCACGCAGGTACCAGCTGACAAGGTCACTGCGTCTTAAATTATGGGAGTCATCATCTGCACAAAAATATCATCCCTCTTATCATTAAAGTGTTCAGCCTTGCACAAATAACAGACACAAGAACATCAAATTAAGTCTTCTAAATCAAAGGAACTATTTTCTTTAAGATTCAAAAGAACAATCATAAATATCAACAATATCCACTGTATGTTAAATAACCTTTCCTCGATTTGATGACCGTAAAAACGGAAAACAACAATAAAAGGATTGAAAACTTCAAATAAAAAACTGGTGTATGTCACTAGCTTTACCTGTTGTTTGTAGTAGTATAGGTAAATTTTTTTTCAGAAGGCTGTTAATTAATTTAAGATTGTAGATACTTTGTAGAAAATATGGTTACATACAGACTCCCATGTTTTAATCAAAGCACAATTGGTTCAAATCAGTTCCTTTGACCGATATTGCTTTAGTTTGCTTGAATTTGACAAGAGTTTTTATATAACTTTGCCTTGTATGTTAAACTGCGAACGGTTTCTAAACCAGAAATAAAGTAATTTTTTCTAACCAGACCATGGTTTATTGCAATCACATAAAATTTCAAACTTCAGATAACAGATCAGTCTGAATATATACACACCTTGTGTTTCTTCTTCCTGTCTTCTCATATAAAGCACCATCAAATTGGCCATCTGTTTGTACTCATCGTATGATAACTTCAAGCCCTTCTTAGGCTGGGCAGCTGAAGCATTTTCACTCTCCTGTGGAGCCTGCGGCTCTGCTGGTGTAGCATCTGTTGACAATTCAGATCATATATTAGTTATGTGGTTTCTTGTCTCATCTTTATGTAACCTATTCTTTGATCCATAAAAATATCAGTACTACCCACCTCCTATAACACAACGCAGCCCTACTTATCTCTTACAACAAAACACCAGTATTACCCAACTCCTACTGTACCTCTAACTCCTATAATGTGAGGCCATTGGTCAGCCAATTTATCATCATTGAACCTACAGGAATCTTTTATTTCCCAATTACTATTTCTTTGTACTCATTCTGCCCCAATGAAAAGTATGAAATTTATATAAATTATAGAATATTCCTTCTTTATAGCAAAGTTTCCATCTGAATTAATGAAAAAATACCTATCATTATCAAGACACAGAGAATATCATCCATTTACTTGTTTCATGTGAACAAACTTGACTTTCAAAGCAAATTAACAGCCACAACACTTAAATGCCAGTTCTGGCCCCTGACCTACCATCAATGTCCATTTCCTCCTGATCCTGTTGATCTTCCTCCTCCAGGTGGATGTCTGGCTGTTCGACACGGATGATTGATTTGTTCAGTAGGCGAAACGCTTCCTTCACATGCTTTGGCTGCACCTTAATGGCAGATACAAATTGGGTTAATACTAACTTATCAATATTCATTACCTTACTGACTTCTAACTTTTGAGTTTTTTCTATGTTGATAGAACATACGATATATAACATAAGAAACCACTACACATCTCTTCCAAAGGCACCATTACAGGTAGTAATGATACATGAACCATGTACAACTTGTGTGTTCTGTAGTTTAAGGACATTGAGACATTGAGTTGAAAATCTTAATCAACCATCACTATTTAGCTAATATTTCAGAAGTACTGCTTAATCTTTTTGGTCATTTCATTGTATCTATACTCGTTGGTATATTTTGTAATAATGTTTATCGTACTAATAAAATCCATTGTGAAATCTCCGGAGTCAGTGACTCAGTGATATATATATACATATACAAATAACTCATGTGCCTCGTGCCGATCATAATGGAGGCAATGTCACAATTGCATGACCTTTTTTATTTGGTTCCGAGGTCGGTTAGTGTCTGCAAACATTTAACACCTAGTAGGTTATCATCATCAAAGTTGATAGTATGGATTGGATTATGACATAAGCAAACACCTAGTAGATTATCAATCATATCGGCCCATCACTAGTGTCTTATCATCCAAAGTTGATAGTATGGATTGGATTATGACATAAGCAAGTCACAAACTTTGCCAAATCACAGGCCATCAAGAGTAATATGGGGAAAAAGCCTTGCCTAAAGACACAACCATAACAGCATAGACCAAATCATGGGTAAATGAGGACAGGAATATGGATTCCTGGTTTAGACATCTGCTTATTATCACATTTCCTCATTACAAATGGAACAAGATATTAAGTGGGTTTCAGTGTACTTGCATCAGTCTTGTTTAATCTAAAGTTGATATTAAGCTTACAACTTAACAACATTCCATCCGAGAATACTTACTTCATCCTGACAGTGAAGTCGTGCCATGGCTTCAGATAAGCGGATCATGCTCTCAAGCTGTCGAACTGTGATCCTCCATGAGCTCTTGGCTGCTCCTGTGCCGTCTCTTTGTCGCAGATGTTTGTACTCCTCAATCATGTACTCTTGTGCCTCTTTGTTGATCTGTCCAGAAGCATCAATAATAACACACTGGTAACATTATGTATGACTTTATTATTTTAAAGTAAAGTTCGTTGATATGTCATGATATCTAGATGATGAAAGCTCATTAACGCATGGTTATATCAGTAAAGTGATTTAGTTTTAGTTCTAATTGTGAAATATTGAACTTTGAAAATTGATCTAGCATTGTATACCTTGGGTTTGAACTGCCGAGCAAACATGAGATATCGTGTGATGTCCTCCACTGAGTAGATCCTCTCCACAGACTCCTCCTGGCGACTGTGTAGATCCACAATACGACGAGCAATAGCATAGTCTGTCACCTGCATAAATATAGATTTTTGTACCTGTAATTTAACTTCCTTTCATCCAAATGTTTAAAATTTGAGACATTCTGATTAATAATAATTCTTTGCAATGACCTTTTCCAATTCAAAGGAAACAGACTCTGAAACTGATCAAAATTATCAAGATTTTTACCAACAGTCGGGTTTTACATGGCATATTCGCGATATCGGATATGTCCGGCAGGTTTCTGTAAAACTGTTCTTTACTACTTTATCAAACCTACTTATACATGTGAATTGAGGAAAGTTCATGTTCTCAATTTTTACCTCATTGCATTCATCAACCAAGATGAAGAACAAGTCGAATCGGGACATAATAGGTGCCGTCAATGTGATGTTCTGCTTCAGTGACTTTGTTCTATCGTATCGTCCTCCTATAGGGTTGGCAGCTGCTAATATTGACGTTCTGGCATTCAGTGTGGCCTATAAAAGAAAGGAATAGGATTGTAATAAATTTGAGGGAGAGAATGATCATCCAACTAATCTGTTATTTTCTTCCCACAGGAAATATTTTACAAATACAACAAAATTTTCTACATGACACACAACATATTCAGCGATCCAATCGCCTATTAAGTTCCCTTGAAAATTTACTGACAAATATCTTACACACAAAATCAAAATAAAACACATCAGCTGTATCTATATATTGGTCACTAGGCTGATATTTCATTTCCAAACCAACATTTCCGTAATACCAGTTGTTACATATGTACCTACCCGAACGCCAGCCTTGGTGATGGAGATTGTCTGCTGTTCCATGGCTTCGTGGATAGCTACCTGATCCTTAGGATCCATCTTGTCAAACTCATCTATACAGCACACTCCATTGTCTGCCAACATGAGGGCACCGGCCTCGATGACAAACTCATGTGACTCTTCATCTTTGACCACAGCAGCAGTTAAACCTGCTGCAGTGCTAGCCTTACCACTTGTGTACACTGCCCTTGGACTGAACTCTTCAACCTGTGAAGTAACATACAGGCAAATGATTTCAGTTTTCCTATAAATCTGTTCTACCATATAAGAGAATACACATATGAAGACAAAAGTTCAAAATGATCTTAATAGATTAAGAAACAGTCTCATCTGCTTTAAGAACTGACTGCTGCAAGTGCTTGTGTCTCCAACAATACAAACTTCATCTTACCTGTTTTAGGAATTGACTTTTTGCAGTACTTGGGTCACCAACAATACAAATGTTGACATCACCACGAAGATTGGTCTTCTCTGTTGTAATCTTGGGAACACCACCAAACAACATCAGAAGCACACCTCTTTTGATTTCTTCATTACCTGATATAAAAAAGAGAAACAAAATGTCACAGCAAAAAAATACAAATACAAATCATACAAGCTGTTTTATCTTACATGTGAACATATATCTGATTTAATGGTTTCCATAATTTGAATATCACCTGGTAATTGATTGGATTTTTTTCGATTTTTCACATCAAACTAAAAAACCCATGCTTATCTTCATTTATATCACACTGAAAACCCTGAAATCTTCATTAAGCAAGCACGAATAGATAAATATTTTTTTGTATTTTTACATTTCACAATTACCATGATCTTCACCTTAATTCTTCAGAACTGAAGCCAATGGTCACTTTACAGAAGCTTCTTATAAAATAAGTATGTCTACTTGTCAGACAATAAAAACCTGAAGAACAGATGACAAATATCATTGTTACTTGTCTGAACAGCAACAAAGGCCTGCCATTGTCTTGTACCATAGACATTGATATAACACTGTATGCTTCATACTTCAATACTTCATTCAAATACATCAGTGTCTTACCATGTATTGTTGGGAAGAGACTGGAACACATATTGTGGTAAAGATTTTTGTCCATGCTCATATCATACACTTTCTGCCACTCATCATCTGTCATCTGTTTCTTGATTGTCTCTGCTGTCATCTCCTCATCTTTCATGTCTCGGCCACCAAACTGTAAAAAAAAATATCAAAAGTGATACAACTGCCATAAATCAGACATTGACGGTATTCATATACTACTGTCAAATTACCTTCTGCACATAGGCAGCTTGACTTTGTCTTCTGATTTTCTACCAAGGATCTTCCTATCATGAAAGTCATGTATATTTTTTCTTGAGATGAATTCTCAGGAAACCCTTCTCTTGACAATAATAACGTGCTGAATAAGTTTTGAAAATAAGGCAGTAATATATTATCAGTGACAGGAGTGACACAGTAATTAAAGTATGGTTTTTCAGTACCGAAATTCAGAGTTATGAAATAAGTTGCATTAATTTATTTAGCCAGACTGTTATCAACAGATAAGGATTTCCTTTCTTTAATTATCAAGAAACCCTTTTTATGTGCATATTTCCATGAAAACCAACTGTCATTTTTCCTAAGATGATACACTTGATATACATATGCAATAATAAAGAAAAAATCAGACATCCAACTATAGTTTCAGGAGCTAATATTAAGTATATATGTACGTACCCTTGGGTTACTCGAGGACACAGTGCAGGCCAAAAAAGCCAGTCTGTAGGTAAGATCTCGTACTCCCAGTGCCTTCAGGCCTCGCACACCTTCAGTCTCATAACCCTCATTTCCACGAACCCTGGAAGATGTCTCAGATCGTGCCCCTGATAAGTCAATATAATCATTTTAATCATGATCTTTATCTAAAGTCATGTTTTATTCAACTAGGGAACTACCGGCTTTGGTCTGATAATACATAAAGAATACACATATAATAGTTTATAATGTTTTGACATGAAGCAGAAGTCAACTGAGATGGTCCCTACTCTTAATTCCAGTACAACATTACTCAATTGGTGTTGAGATGGTCCCCACATTCATCTCCAGTACACCATTACTCACCTGGTGTTGAGATGGTCCCTACATTCATCTCCAGTACACCATTACTCACCTGGTGTTGAGATGGTCCCTACATTCATCTCCAGTACACCATTACTCACCTGGTGTTGAGATGGTCCCTACATTTACTACCAGTCCACCTTTACTCACCTGGTGTTGATGTGGTCCCCAGATTTACTACCAGTCCACAATTACTCACCTGGTGTTGAGATTGTCCCCATATTTACTACCAGTACACCATTACTCACCTGGTGTTGAGATGGCCCCTACATTTACTACCAGTACACCATTACTCACCTGGTGCTGAGATGGCCCCTACATTTACTACCAGTCCACCATTACTCACTTGGTGTTGATATGGTCCCCACATTTACTACCAGTACACCATTACTCACCTGGTGTTGAGATTGTCCCCATATTTACTACCAGTACACCATTACTCACCTGGTGTTGAGATGGCTCCCACATTTACTACCAGTACACCATTACTCACCTGGTGTTGAGATGATCCCCACATTTACTACCAGTACACCATTACTCACTTGGTGTTGAGATGGTCCCCACATATACTACCAGTACACCATTACTCACCTGGTGTTGATATGGTCCCCACATCTGGTACAACAATCAGAGTACCTGTGAAGTCACATTTATCTCCTGCCTGTGCCGTCTCAACAGCCTCAGCACGAAGAATAACCTCAACACTGAAACACATAAAACATAAGGTATCACTGCTGTATTCATGGTCACTTAAATTCATTTCTTCATTTTTCATTAACACCTACATAGATAACCAGATTGCAAGACCAGAGTTTTAAACCTTTACTTCCCAAAACAACCTTAAATACTAAACCATTTTTTCAAGTATAATTACAGCCACAATCTTACAAAAGGATGCTGCACATCCATATCTAAAATCTCCCTTTCAATGAAATAAAATTGATGGGGAAGAATATTACACCAGTAAAACAGGTCTTCAGACTCCAATATATCATCTTAGCTTACCTTCTAGGAATACTTCCCCTAGGGAGTTCTGCCTGTGTTTCCTGTATCCGCACTTTTTGAAAATCGACAAATTTGGATTTGTTCACATCTAACATGAATCGAGATCTATTGTTACAAACAGGATTCCTACAAATGGTTGGCTGAAAAAAAATCAATATGAACTCAAATCAGTATGAGGGACAATCCATTTATTCCAATACTAACTAATTACTAACTGATAAAATGTGACAAATTATTTACTCCAGTCAAAGTTTGCACACGTTTTACTAAGACAGAAGTGACAAGTGCAGTGTTCTCCCTTGTTTTTTCTAAACTGGAGGTAAATTGTATCCCTAATATTGTTTATATACAGGAGAGTGCTTGAAAATCAGTTTCGGTTAAAATTTGATATTTGTTTTACTAGAGAAGCAAAATGTGACAAGTGTTTTTACAAGTGTTTTTCTCAGATAAACATTGAAATGTTTTAATACAGCAAAATGTGACAAGTTTTTAATTAGATAAACTTTGACACATAATTAACTGGAGCAAATCATGACGAGTGTAAATCTAGTGGAAAATGTGACAGGTGTTTTACTCAGGTAGACTTTTGAAAGCATTTCATGAGGACAAACACCTTGCTGGTTTTCAGACCATGAAAAACGAAAGGCAACACATATGGAAAGGGAGGTAATCATGTAAAATCTCTGATTTTATTCTATTATTCTAGTCATAAAAAGCTATGCTCTGGCATAGCCCAGAGCTACGTTCTTATTACCTTTATTACCTTATTAACTTTTTGGATAGAATGCAGAACTATATCAAGAAAGGGCGATCTACAAGAAACCATTTTATTTCATGGCTGTTACCTGTGTGTACTTAAACTGTTGCTCCACATCCTTAATGACCGTTCTACAATCCAGACACATGAATGTCCCGCTGACCAGTTCTGGATGGACAGGATGTGTCCGCACAACTTGACCAATGATTCGAAGCAACGTGCCTACTTTTGCTGTTGTCATCTCACGGACCCTAGCAAAAGAAATCAAACAATTCAGAAATCTAAAATAATTGTGTTTATTTACCTAATATAAATCTTCTAGAAATTAGGTCTCCTAGTAAGCCCACCCATCAGTTCACCATTTGTATTAGGTCCAATAACTGTTTCAATGAAATGTCATTACACAGTGATTTATTATCAAAAGAGGACAGACAGAGCACAGGGATCAATTTAGGATATAGGGGATAGTACCCCTTTTGACACTAGGGAAAGAAAGCCTTGGTTCCAAAGGGCCACAGGAGGAAGCCTCCTGAGCTGAAAATAATTTACAGTTTTTCAGCACTATGTGATGGACTTTTAAAACAACTATGGAATAAAGTAAGATTCTTTTTAAAACAGAAAATATGTAAAACCAATCAGCTGAAATAATGGAAATCTGAAGAGGAAAACAGCAACCCATACAAAATAGGGGAAGATATCGTAAGATTCAAGAGAAACATTATGAAAGCCGAGAATTTTAGCTGCCAGGATAAACTTTCCAACACCAGTAGTAAAATAACCCTAGATTGATCCTAAGAACATGATGAAACTTCAGATCTCATTATTTATCTCTTCAATTTAATACAGAATAAAACATAGGGAAAAAGACAGTTGAGAGTTTACATATTATACAAAACAGTGATTTCCATTTATGTTCTGTGTTTTTGGTACAGAGGAACATGAATCAACAGTAGGCAATCACTTTGCGGAATGAATTGTATATTTTTGCATTAAATGTTTTGTCTAAATGTTTATTTTTTAGCACAACATCATTTACACATTTGTTTTCAGAAACTTACTTTAGTCTGGTGGGCACATCTGTGAAACTAACATAGAACTCTTTGGCCGGAGGTATCTGTCCCCAATCTTTTGCATAATTTCGCACTGCACGGCAGAGAAATGGATATATTCTGGAATAAAGATTTTATTTTTTAAATCAAGAACCTTTCATTGTTGAACTTTTCATTACAATTACGACACACTGAAAATTAATATATGACATTACTGCTATTTTTATCTTAATCTTGAAAGTGGAAAGGTATACCTTTTTTCCCCACAACTGAAGTAACCCTTTTTTTAAATTAAACTTTTATCAGTATGCATCATGTTAAAACATTTCAATACACACAAACTAAGCTCAGTAACCATGCCACATGTCATTTTAATGACGTTAGCTGGCAAGAATAAAAGAGTGGGCCAGCAATATGCTTTAATATGTAACAAATAATGAAATAAGTTTTCAGACACCATAATAATTCTTCTGTAAGCATTTATAGTGGCAGTTTTTCCAACCTGTAGTATTCCTCCAGAATAGTAGTAGACAGTTGCTGGTTAAACTTCTCAACATCTTCAAAGCTAACTGTTAGAGTGTTTCTTTCTGGTCTAATTAATTCTTGAACTTCTGACAAGTATTTCTGTTCACCATCAACTGAAAATCTAGAGAGAAAAAAAAAAGAATTTTTAATTAGTTAGAACAACACAAAACACAACAGGTTGGGTTTTTTTTTAATAAATAACTTCCCGAGTGAAAAAAATAACTTCCTATATATACTATAGGCACATGTGTAAAAAAACACCCAACAATTTATAATGCATAGACTCAATTGACAAGGGCTCAAACACTAAACATAGTGTTTCACTGAATACTTGTAAACTCAAAGGAAACATGTCACAAACATTTTCAGTTATATTAGAATCACATGCGGCAGTTGTAAAATTACCAGCAGTTGGTCTAACGGCATCAGTTTAATGGCAGACATCAATGGAAAACTATCTTCGAGTATCCAATTAAATATGAAATATCTACAATATTGTTGTGATGTTGTTCTATATGATAATACTGCTGTGATGTTGTTCTATATAATAATATTGTGACGTTGTTCTATATAATAATGTTGTTGTGATGTTGTTCTTTAAAATAATATTAAAAGATCTTATACACACAAAAAATACAAAACTATTTCTAAATGGATAATGATGTAAAAAGGAAGTCAGATTTTGAATTAATTATTGCAATTCGTCAACACAGCACAGCCCTTGAAGTAGGAACCTTTAGAGGTCCGGAACCAGTCGTCTAGAATACATGAATAGCTAGATAAAGTTGTAGCTCCGACAACATTACTATCGTAATATGTTGTCGGGAAAGGAAGGCGGGAAGTTTAGAGATTGTCTATATAGGTTTACTAATTTACCAAGGAACTTTGTCAAAACAACTTTTAAAGTACTGGGAAATCTTGCCTCCATGATTAGGCCAACGGGCTCATGGTCAGGGTGTCGCACTGACAATTATTTCTCATCGAATTAAGTTACGAAGCATTTAAATATTACTTACTCTTCCAAAAAATCTTGGAACAGTTTCTGACATCTTTCACCAACTTGATCCTTCACTTGGTTAGTCCTGACAGCTTGTTCCGCAACATCCATGGTGGAAATAATGTACAACGTGTTTACAGTGTACACAATGAGCTCTTTCCCGCCAGATCAGTCACGTGACTGGGATCTTCACAACATTCGGAACATTTCTAATTCTTTATACAGTAAGAGAACTCGGAAATAGCACTGTGTTCGATGCTCAGCTAGGACTCAAATATTTTTTACTTTATATCATAGTATTCTAAAACCTCAGATATATCTAAAATTATTCTGTGATACATATAATCTCGTTTACATTTTTATATGTTTTACATAGTTCACATATAGTGTTAAAACTTTAATGCATAGCCTGGCTCAACAGTATACAATTCTACATTTGAATTAATATGTGCTGCGTGTCTTTTGTAAAATGAAAATAGATGAATATTTGAAATATTGCCTAAAATGTACTGTTTTAATGCAAAGCCAGATCAATAATTCATGTACCAAATATATAAATGTATTTGATTTGGTCACATAAGAGTGTACTTTCCTTGGTGATATCTGATGCGTGTCCAAATCATAGGTGTTAAAAGTAGCAACACAATAGATCGTAAAATTAAAAAGTTGTGAAACATTTTTGTATTGATCATTAAATTATCGAGGGTTTTCGTCGTTTAGACGTTTCCGATAAAATCTGTAAATATTTTTTTACGCGTAAGACATGTTAGTGCCAGCGTTGTGTGAATAACGTGAATCTCCTATGGTTTATGATGGGTCCCGAAATAGGCCAGCCTTCAAATCGGAAGGGACACAAAATCTGTCAAATTTTCGAGATTTCGTGAAAAGCACTTTCAATTTAGAACCAATATTTCGATATTTACGGTTGAAACAAGACTTTAAAAAATCGTGGCGAATGTTTTGTTGAGACGCACCTTTCAATATGATAAGTGTAACAAATAAGTAAGAAAATTAACTAGAAAATGACAAACTCTTGCAGTCTACTTATCGCGGTTAACATCAGTACGTGTGTACCTTTTGTACAGTCGGGATTCAACATTTCTGTCCGAGATCTTCAATGCCGTGAAAAATTGCACAATAATTTGTAAGGATTAGAACTAGACAATGTTAACATTGCGTCATTTTACTTTTTTGATCAACCAAAAGATTGAAGATTCATAAACAGGAAATAAGAGAAAAATCTACCCAGTACACCTCACACAAATTAGACCTGCATCAAAATTCATTGTAATTTTTAAATTGAACAAGAACAGCCATGTTGGCGGAAAAAGGAACACCTATATATAAATTTTTAAAATGATCGATCTAGCTATCTTGAAGAAACCATGATAATATTACTCGTCTTTTTCTTTGTCTTTATTGATTTTAGATAGAAGTACACGATAACTTCAGTATGAACAGATTTTGATGAAACTTGACCTACTGAAAAAAAAATCAAGAAATCCAAACTCAAATTCCATAAAACTAGGGAAAATATTAACAAAATAAAGATTTACCACGAAGACTCCTGAAAAGGTACAAGGAGAATAAGACCAGATGTTCCGGAAGAGTAAGCATCTTCTGCTTCATCGGCGACACCCGCCTTGTAAACCTTGGCCAATCCAAGCAAGTAAGGTCATTTTCTCAAATGATAAGTTATGCAACAACGGAACCAACAGGCAAACTAACGAGCATCAAATATGTCCAACTTACAGATCATTCCACATAGCAAGATCATTTCGTTGACTGGGGAAACTCCAAAATAGTCGACAGAGAAAAACAACCTTTTCAGACGGTTAGTTAAGGAAGCCTTCTGGATACGCCTTAGCAATGCAGTACTTAATAGGGACGAGGGGGGCACAGACTATCGCACATCTATGACAAGCGTTAAACAAAGCGTAACCGAATTAACTACAGTACATTAATATCTTGTGTATTTTTTTTTTTTTTTGTCTATAATTTGTTTACTATCTCTTCACACTATTTTCGACCTTAGATTTAAGTCAACCGAAAAAGTTGGTCGATTCCATACCATCTCGTACACGACGTTCGTCGGTGCTAGTACGCTCCATACTGACAATTTGTCTGAGGAATATGACCGTGTAATTATCGAAACGACACACTCTAATCTTCTACTGGTTGTTATAAGAGTTACGGTCTTACGCATTTTTATCAATAGCGGGAAGCAATTGATTGCAAGTGTGTACCATTGAACTTGTGAACATGTACACCATAACGCAAGTGATTATCAGCAAATTTGAAATTTTGCAATACAGTTCTACAATGGAAACGATTCAATCGTAACTTAAGAGTTATGACGTTTTATCACAGTTATATATATATTTCTTTTATTTCTGAACACAATAATTTGACTAAATATCAACATATTCTGTTGAAAGTTGTATTCCAGCTTTATATCAATAAGATCTAGGATGAGTTTAAAGGGATAATTTATGATTTAGAGCAAGTAAGGATTTCATGGGATGCGTTTGAAAAAAAGCTACAAAATTATCTTATGAAAACCATAACCCTAGATTTACAATTTAAACATTTTTTTTGCGGAAATCCTATATAGATCACGGTTGATCGATTTACAAACGTTCTCGCGATATCGATTCCGTCATCACAAGATTGCCGAACAGAATGAAATATTTGTGTAAATTAAAATATCAACACAAAATTAGCCTAACCAGTCAAAGATTTTAACACATGCATTCATCCATTCTGCATGAATTCTATGAACCAGCGACCCGTTCAGTTCTGGATGCGCTATATTTAGATGGATTAGCCACCAATTTCGCCTGTCCAAACTGACTACAGGAGAGGTATTTTGATGCTAACAATATTTTAAATGGTCATTAGAAGGAATTATTTTCAGTATGGTTTCTCGAAACTCAAGACATACTTTTTCATTCACCTCCCAGTTGCTACATACACCAACCAGCATCCTCTTGAATTAGAGTTGCGAAAAGACAACACACGTAAACAAGTTTTTCCTTTTTTTGTTCTGGCTCTTTTATTCATTCTTTTTTTCTTCTTTCATTTTTCATTTGAAGATACTTTCATATTTTGAAATAGCATCTACATGAAAATGACTGTTTGCATACATTACTTGGGGTTCTTCTAAAGCTTGACAATATCATTATTCATTGATCACTTCTTGTGCAATAGAATGATGGAATGATGGTAATATAATGAAATACTATAGACTTTTGCTTAAAGATGAAATCTGATAACAAAAAATAATCAGTTAATAATGAAACTTTTGACAACACTACCGCACACATTAGTAATCAAGCATTCAAATTTTGATTCGACCATTTTTCCAAAACAGCAATTTAAAGGTAAAAAGCATGTGCACCTTCCACTAAAGTATGCGTTTCACTTGACTGGTTTGATACAGAGTCTTCACATTTGACAAAGTTCACACTGCCATGATCATTGGGGTAGTTTTTTTTTTATCATTACTTGAGCAGTGTTCCAAATATAGCTTTGATAGTTATACTGTAGTAGCAAATTAATAACTGACAATACTAAATATTGAATGTTGTTAAGTTGATGTATTCCTGAATGTTTCCTGTATTTAATCAACCTCCTCAATGGTTGGGCCACCACTTCCACCAGTGGATGCACCGTCAGCACCACCAGGCATACCGCCTGGCATACCTCCAGGCATACCTCCTGGCATACCTCCTGGTGCGCCACCAGCCCCCTGGTAAAGCTTGGTGATAATGGGGTTACAAACACCCTCCAACTCCTTCTGCTTGTGTTCAAACTCGTCCTTTTCGGCCAATTGGTTAGCATCTAGCCAAGAGATCACTTCTGAACACTTGTCGACAATGGTTTTCTTGTCATCTTCACTGATTTTACTCTTGAGGTTGTCATCCTCGACGGTGGATTTCATTTGGAAGGCATAGCTCTCCAGGGCGTTCTTAGCAGAGACTCGGCTACGCTGGACATCATCTTCTGCCTTGTATTTCTCGGCATCATTCACCATCCTTTCGATCTCCTCCTTGGACAAACGACCTATCAATACACAATATTCAGTATTACTTTCACCTGCATGAGGACCACTGAAGAAGTTGATGCAAGTAAAGATGTCCACAACACTGGTTTTACTTTTGCCTATGTCAACATTTTCGAACAAAACTTAACTATTAAATATAATACTACTCAGTCTTGTGCATATTAAATCTGATTTAATTACATTAGCATCCCAAAAATTTCCAATAAATTGATAGAAGATCTATAGCCTTACAACCATATTTCTACAATATCTCCCTCAGGACTACAAGGACGTTAAAAATGACGATATCCAAGACTTCCTTTCCAATTGAAAATTGCATCACTGATGTTAAGAAAAACCAGGTTATTACTTAAACAATTTTGAAGAAGTTTAATTTAGTTTTTCAACATGAAAACTGAAGTAGACATACCTTTGTCATTGGTGATGGTGATTTTGTTCTCCTTGCCAGTGCTCTTGTCAACAGCAGACACATTGAGGATACCGTTGGCATCTACATCAAAGGTTACCTCAATTTGAGGCACACCTCTTGGTGCTGGTGGAATTCCTGTCAGTTCAAACTTTCCGAGCAGATTGTTGTCTTTGGTCATTGCTCGTTCTCCCTCATAAACCTGGATCAACACACCAGGTTGATTGTCTGAGTAGGTGGTGAATGTTTGGGTTTGCTTGGTGGGGACAGTTGTGTTACGCTTAATAAGTGAGGTCATTACACCTCCAGCAGTCTCAATACCCAAGGATAGAGGTGCGACATCCAATAACAATAGATCTTGGACTTCCTCAGACTTGTCCCCAGACAGGATAGCTGCCTGCACAGCTGAAAACAACAAAAAGATGACTACTCTCACAGAATACACACAAAAATACTTTATATATTAACTACACAAATATAATACAGGAGTTAAAGTATAGGACATCAGGTTTAAGTTACAAGTAAAAACAATGGTAATGGTAAAACAAATTTATGCAGTTACTGAAAACTTGATGTATGGGAACTGAAAGTAAATTACATACCTGCACCATAAGCAACAGCCTCATCAGGGTTAATGGATTTGTTCAGTTCTTTGCCATTGAAGTAATCCTGGAGAAGTTTCTGGATCTTTGGAATACGTGTGGACCCACCAACCAGTACAATATCATGAACCTGGCCTTTGTCTAGTTTGGCATCACGTAGAGATTTTTCTACTGGTTCCAAGGTTCCTCTGAATAGATCAGAATTCAACTCTTCAAAACGTGCTCGTGTGATGCTTGTGTAGAAATCAATTCCTTCATACAAGGAGTCGATTTCAACGCTGGCCTGAGCACTTGATGACAGTGTTCTCTTTGCTCGCTCACAGGCTGTTCTTAGACGACGTACAGCCCTTTTGTTATCTGTGATGTCCTTCTTGTGTTTACGTTTGAATTCCTGAACAAAGTGGTTCACCATACGGTTATCAAAGTCCTCTCCACCTAAATGGGTGTCTCCAGATGTGGATTTCACCTCAAAGATTCCATCTTCAATTGTCAGAATGGATACATCAAAAGTACCACCACCTAAATCAAAGATGAGAACATTTCTTTCCTGTCCGACCTGAAAAATGAATATCAGAAATCTGCAATTTCCAAATATCAATATTGTGAAATATTGAAGAAACAATGGCATTAGCATACATTGCGGGCCTTTATAGGAAATATTCTGAAATAAGGGAATATGTTTAATTCTAAATTTTTTAAATTTGTAAAATACAGCAATACTGCAGTAATGCAAGTGCTCATAATTACGTTAATGTTTTTTTGACATTTGGAGAGACAGAATCTGCTTTTCCAGTGATAATTCTGGCATAGGTAAAATCTGTGCAATGAAATTCCCACCTTATCGATTACCTCAAGCCATTGAGAAACTTACCTTTTTGTCAAGACCATAGGCAATGGCAGCTGCTGTAGGCTCATTAATTATACGAAGAACATTAAGCCCAGAAATTGTTCCAGCATCTTTTGTTGCCTGTCTCTGAGAATCATTGAAGTAGGCTGGCACTGTTACTACAGCATTTGTTACAGTCTGAAATATACAAAGTTAAAGTCTGAATAGTTGACATCTTCATTTAAAACAAACATGCAAGTCACCAAACAATAAAACTGACAAAAGGTGGTAACAAGGTCGACAAATCTGGTATCAAATTATAGGTTTTCCTCTCAGGAACATAACATGCCAAATATAAAGCAATATCTCTTAACATTGATGAGAGTGAAAGTTGTGTGCAGAAAAATAGATGCACAAAAACTCTGGTGCATAAAAAATAAAAACAAGTCGACTCAAATTCATAAAGTGTTTTGTTTCAAGTATAATTTGGCAACATGTTTCAAACCCCCTAAATCTGTAATGACTACAATGATGGAGACAAAATTTGAAATCTCACCTTGCCAAGATATGCTTCAGCGGTTTCTTTCATCTTGTTCAGAACCATGGAGGATATTTCTTCGGGGAAGAATGTCTTTGATTCTGTCTTGTAATTGACCTTCAGTTTTGGTTTGCCACCATCATCAACTACTTCAAAAGGCCAGTGTTTCCTATCAGATGACACACATGGGTCGTTGTATTTTCTGCCGATGAGACGTTTGGCATCTACAAAGAAAACAAAACCATACAGAAATTCACTAGCCCTGCCACAACAACAAAAATCCCACACCAGGCAATAGCTTCATCAACAACAATAGAGAAGTAATGGAAAGTTAAATGATTTAAACATATTTTATTGTCGACAAAAGACAAATGGATAAGAGACAAGTTCTTACAACTTATAAACTCTTCTCCACAAATACAGTACAGATAATATATTACAACACGTGACATATATTCGTACAATAAACATAAAAATACAGAATTATTGGGGAGAGAGAGAGAGAGGGGTTGGGGAGAGAGAGAGGGGGGTTGGGGAGAGAGAGAGGGGGGGTTGGGGAGAGAGAGTGAGAGAGAGAGAGAGGGAGAGAGAAAGAGAGAAAGTTAAATAATTACCAAATATTGTGTTTGTAGGATTCATAGCTACTTGGTTCTTTGCGGCATCTCCTACAAGACGTTCAGTGTCTGTAAATGCTACATAACTTGGGGTTGTTCTGTTTCCCTGGTCGTTGGCAATGATTTCCACTTTTCCATGCTGAAACACTCCAACACAGGAGTATGTTGTTCCCAAATCAATTCCAACGGATGGTGCTGAACTTTTACTCATGTTGCTGTGAAAATCAGATTAAATCGAAGTGAAGATAAATCAAATAAAATCAAGTTTATTTTACAGTACAAAAATCGCCCTACTTGAATTCTTAAAACACAAATAAAAACGATACACTTCAAAATGAATTGATCCAATGAGTGTTTTTTTCCGAGAATAAATATGCACACGCAATAGCGAGTAACGGTTTCCGTTTATAGACTAACCTAACACGTCATGATGGCGTGAAGTTGTTTGCACACATGATCAAAACCGGAAGATAATGAAAAAGAATTTGCTAGAAGCCGGCAATGGGTTCGAAGTCAAATCGATAATGAAACCACGGTTTTTCCATGATAAAAAGGTTATTTCATAGTTAAGTACGACCACTTATTATGTTATATTACACGAAATGCATTTCGTTACGTTTCAAACAATTACTTTAACTATTATTAAAGCCGGTTCAACAGTACATGTTTAGCCTAAGGCGTGCACGTGGTGTGTTGGGTGGCAACACGATTTTTTTCAAAGCAAGAAATATACGTACGTCTGACAAAGCCTGCTTACACTTTATTTTCTAGTCAGTGTTATTTTTCTGCCAATATCAAGGCAAAATAACTATATAAACCATTTGAACTTTTCAAGAATTAAAAAGTTAAAATTTGCTCATGCGCTCATTCACCATTGTCTGTAGTAGGGAGGTCAGCTCAAAAAATGAACCACCTAGAAAACATTTTAAAACATGTTTTTTGGACAAAACTCAAAGAAAGAGGAATTTTGGTGCAAAAATTTTGGAAATCGGTTGAGCGGTTCAAAAGTTACATCA